AAGCTTGGTGACCTCTTTCCTAGGTGACCTCACCTCTCAGGCTGCGCCTTTGAATATTTAACATTGACCAAAGAGTCGCCAGGGTTTCCAAGTGACAACAGACCAAGTGGCGTTGGCGAACAATGAAAGGAGACAAAAGGTACGAACAATTCATGGCTAAAAAGAGGACAGAGAAGCGAAAGGAAAAAGAGAGAAAAGGGGTAAAGGGAGTGTCGAGTGGGAACTGGAAAAATTCCACATTGTTATTATTATTGTCACACCCCCGAGGCAACCAAAGACAAACAGATTCGGCAACAATTGAAAAAAAACCTCGGCCCATTCGGTAGAAACACTCGGTGGATTTTCGTTTTATCCCTCGCGCAGGGGTGGCAAATAGTATTAAGGGTCATGGACCTGCAGGCTGGAATTTTCCCTTCGAAGAAAATATCAAGGATTATACGTATCGAGTGGGAGACCCCGGCACGGTCTTTACGAAGGCCCGGGTGTCATTTTCCAATATTCTGAAATTTTTTGATCACTATCCTCAGCTGCCTTTAACTATCTTCTTAAGACGAGGATGCTGCTCGCGGTGTTTTGCCAAGTCTGAAAAGGCGGCCGACTCGTCGTATGTTTTCTTAGCCGGGATGTTTCGTTGGGCGGTGAGAAGAGTCTTTAGGAGAAAAAAAAGGGAATTTGAAAATGGCCAGGATGAGCCCCCTCGAGAGAATAAATAGGGGCAGCCCTGGTGGGTGCAGCCAAGCGATGCAACCATAAAGTTCTGTGACGTGAAACGTTGAGACCAATTACGTGGAGTCGCTGCGAGGAAAATTACAGGTGTTTAGGGTTCTTCGTGTCTGCGTTCCTGCGGGACTGGCTGGAAAAGGAGGAAAAGGAGAGCGAGAGGGGAAGCCATTCTGCCATCCCTGGCAGAAAGGAGACACTTGCTGAGAGCCAGAATCTCCCCGGTTCCGTGAAAGGCTTAAGGGGAGGCTTAATCGCTTTGTCATTAAAGTGGCTACGAATAGTGAGTCTCCTTACGGGTACGGAATTGCGTAGCTGCCAACTTTCTTACCTTTTTGCTATTTCCAACAGCTTCGGCGTTGCTCCGTTTCCAAGTATTTATTGCCATCTCATTTTTCGACTTTTCTATTTTCCTACCGCCATCTCGACAATCGGAACGTCGATCACGAGAAATGGAATCCACTGTTTTTTCTTTCTTCTACGGTGGATCGCAACTGATGCCAGATCTCGATTTCTTCGATTATCTGGAAAAATGGCATTTGTTAGCCCACTTCGTCTCAGCTACCATCGGATCTAACAAATCCTCCGAATCCTACTATGACGAATTGTAACATTATCCCCCTAAGAAAGATCCTCTGTTTCTTGTATCCTTCAGGAGATATTCGACGCGAAAATTATTTTTTTTTTTTTTACAAAATCTCTGTGGATTTTCCGCCAACACGTGTAGCGCGCGAAGATCCGGTGACGGGAGTTTTTGAAAAATTACCTAAAACGTGCAGCTACACCGAAACCTGGTCTCCTTTGAAATTTCTAGGTGCAACTGCGATTTATCGTCGGTCGCATAATTCAAGTTAAATAACTTTTTGTTTACCGCTAAACCCAGAGAACCGTAACACGGTGGAACACTGGAACTGTACGAAAAGTTTGGAACAGTTCCAAACGATAGGAGCGCATGGGACTTCATTTACATTTATGAATATTTCGTTGAGTCCCTGTGTTTATATAGCAACGTGTACAATGTCCAAGTTGCTCACATAGTTTAAGGATTTCAGGTGGTAGCCATTTCCATGGCGACTGCTTAAAAAGTGCTGTAAAAAATACTTTTTTAATATCAGCCCCGTACATGAAACCAGGGGAAGCGATTAACGCGCGCATGGGAGGAGTACAAGGCGTTTCAAAAGAAATGGTACAAAAGTGCCGGGTAGTACAGAATCCACGTATTATCGATCGCGCAAGGTAGCTGTCCCTTCTTCGATCAGGCATTAAGATAATTGCACGATAATTAATTTCCGCGCCGTCAACAGACTGACAAATGAATTTCACCCGTTATCATCGAATGCTGACCCTTGCTCCGATAAGCCCATCAAGCTTCATTGACGCTCATCCGATCGCCAACATATAAAAAACATTGACAAAGGTGCGTATAGTCTCCGAGGACAAAAGTATCGTAAAAATGGATATTTTTTAGAGGAAACAAGGAAACCCATAATTTTACGCAGGAGTGTGATAAACTAAAAGTAAAAAGTAGATGGACGTCCGATATATCATAGCCTGATATATTCGCCCGTTTGAGTGTTATCTCAATGGCTGATAAGGTAACGGCGGCAGTTGGTAGAAACGACCAGAGACATAAGGGGGGTTGGAATAAAAGAAATACCGTAACCCCTGACCCCCTAAAGTATAGCTACCCCACGAGACACACAGTGGTGATGGGGGGTAGCAGGACGGGGGGGGGCGTTCGATGTGTTTACCTGTGCATACCTGTGTTAGGGGGCGAAACGTGAAATTACGGAAGAATTGGGGAAAGAATAGGGGTGCGCCAGGGACGTTTGCTTGGGGCATAATAGGATATCAGGAAGCTCAGTGGTCACGCGAGAAAGTCACGAATCGACGGTTGATATTCGTGACTGGCGATTTGACTAGCGATTTGACTGGCGATTTGACTGGCGCTTAAGGCACCCCGTAGCCGTTTCTCCTCCATCTCCTACGGTTAGTTGAATTAAAATGGTAATATGGCGTCGGCCGGCGGCTACGACCACTGAATTATTGCCTGTTAGCATATCGCAGTGCTCACGCGGTGGCGAACTGTTGATCCCTCGAGAGCAGCTTTAGCTTTACTACCTTTCGAGCTACCTGGGACACCCGGTATAAGTGAGACTTGCGAGACGCGTGGGAAATACGTGGTGTGCGTGTTTCACGCGTACAGCAGAACCCGCTGAGAATATGTAAACGTCCATGGCAGTCAATCGACCGGAAACGGTGCTTCCATTTACAGGGTTTCTTCCTCAAAATTTCTTAGGATCCCACGTGACCTCAATAACACTCTGGATTTTCTCTTTCGCTTTGAGTAATCCATCCCATCTGACCTAAATGACCTGTTCTAATCTAACGATAAGTGGATAACAAAGAGGACCCTTCCTCGAGATTTGGTAACAAGTGTCCTTTTTCCGAGAGGATCGAGAGGATCGAGAGGGTCGAGGGGGGGGGGAGGTCACTGGCCAAGGGTGGTTTCTCTCTTTAGGGGATGGTTACGCACGTCGTTGGAGGGGATTCTACAGAAATTACCATATAAACCGCAAAACTCGACGCGTATAAATGTAGGTTTCCATCCAGCGAAGATTTCCTCGATTTAGGGGATCGCTGTCGCCGCAGCCCTTTCTGCTGGAAGCGGCGCAGGGTGCGAAGGAATAAATTCACTTTATAAATCAGAGTCCGGGGCGGGGGGGG